TGCTTCCACCCATTTATTTTCAGATAAGTGTCTATTCTTCTATTTCTTCTGTGTGGATTGTACTTACCTCAGGGGACTCATGTTATACCTGTCCTTTTGAGATTGGTTTACCTCGCTTAACATGATTCCTTCCAACTCTTCCCACGAAACAACGTGTTTCATGTGATCATCCATGCTTTTCAGTGCTGCATAGTACTCCATTGTGTGTATGTGCCAGGGTTTACTAATCCACTCATCTATCGATGGAAACCTAGGCTGTTTCCAAGTCTTTGTGATTTTGAATTGTGCAGCAATAAACATTGGAGTGCAGATGACTGCTCATGTTTTATTTGTTACCTCCTCTGGGTATATGCCCAGTAGAGGGTTGACTAGGTCGTAAGGTAGATCAATTTCCTTTTTAAAAAATATCTCCAGATTGCTTTCCACAGTGGCTGTACATATCTGCACGACCATCACCAATGGAAGAGGGTTCCTATTTCACCACTTCCCCTCCAACACTTGTTGCTTTCTGATTTGGGCTAGCCTCATGGGTGTTAGGTGGTATCTCATGGTTGTTTTAATTTGCATTTCTCTTATGGCTAATGAATGGAAACACTTTTTCATATGCTTGTTGGCCACATGCATCTCCTCCCTAATGAAAGTTATTTTCAGTTCTTTTGCCCACTTCCTTAGGGGGTTAACTGCTTTCCACTTTTTGCAGGCCATGAGGGTGTTGTAGATTTTAGTATTGAGCCCTTTGTATGATGTGTCGTTACTAAAAATCCTCTCCCTGTCTGTGGGTTGCCTTGTCACCCTCTTGGTGACATCTTTCAAGGTGCACAGGTATTTTTTATTAAATCCCATTTGTTGATTTCCAATTCACCTGTGTGTGTATCTTTCCCTATTGCAATGAGCCCTGAGTCAATAATCTTAGGTTTGTCCCAATTCCTTTCTTGATGGTCCTGATGATTTGGGGTTTTAGTTCTAGGTCTGTGATCCACCTTGAGTTTATTCTTGTGCATGGGTTGAGGTAAACGTCTTCTTTCAATTTCCTACATGTGGATATCTATTGCTTCCAGCACCATTTGTTAAAAAGGGCATCTGCTTCCCACTTGATGGTTTTGGGACCCTTGTCGAAGATCAATTGTCTATATGCTGATGGTTTTATTCCTGTGCTTTCTCTTCTTTTCCACTGGTCTGAGTATCTGTCATTGTGCCAGTACCACGCTATTTTGACCACTGTAGCTGTGTATTAGGTATTAAAATTGGGTAAGTTGACTCCTCCAACTTTTTCCTTCTTCTTGAGGAATTCTCTGAAAATTCTGGGCTTCTTCCTCTCCACATGAACTTGTTGATCAGTTTTTCCAATTCTTTGAAGAAGATTGTTGATATTTGAATCAGAATAGCATTGAACTTATAAAGTGCATTTGATAAGATTTTCATCTTTACTATGTTGAGCCATTCAATCCACGAGCACGGGATTTTTTTACGTTTGTGGCGGTTGCTTTTGGTTTCCTGTAGTAGGGTCTTGTAATTTTCCTTGTGTAGGTCTTTAGTTTTGTTGTTGTTAAATATATTTCTAGGTATTTCAGTTTGTCCTTGGCTACTGTGAAGGGTACTGCCTCTTGATTGCCTCTTCCATTGTCCTGTCTGATGTGTATAGCAAACCTACCGACTTCTGTTTGTTTTTAAGAGAGGCCATTCAGAGTGCTCTGAGATGACAATCAAGGAGCATATTTAAAGTGACCGTTGAGCTTGGGTTCTAAGGTTGAGTAAAAATTTTGCAGGTTCTAAGGTTGATAAAAAATTTTTTGCTGTTGTTGTTGAGTAAAAATTTTGAATCCACCCTGTGTGAACTATAAAAGTTCGCAGGCCAGGTGGAGCCACTCTAAGGAGTGAGTTTTGTCTTGTGGATACAAGCGTATATTTAAATTGCAAGATTTTTACCTGTTAGAGATCTGTTTTAATATAGCGGTTTGGCCTCTAGTTACTTACAGGTTTTAAAATTTTAGAAATAAGTTCTCTTAAAGGTGGCTCAGATTTTCAACTCTTGTGTACATAAAATTGAGTTGAAATTCATTGTGCGTTTTCTCCCTAATCCAAGTTTTCAGTTAAAGCTTCATATAGCAAAGTTGCTGTAATAGTCAAGGTACTTTGGAGAAACAAATCCACAGCGACTCGTGTATAAGAGAGAGTTTTATGTAAAGAAAGTGTGCATCATGAAAACATCCCAACCCAATGCTGCCCAAGCCCACAAGTCCAACATTAACCCATCAACCCCACACCAGTCCACAAAGTCCTCCACCTCACAAAACAGAGGCAATGATGCCGACTGCTGGAGGAAAGCTGAGTCAGTGAACGAACAAGCATCTCAGCATTAGCAGGGGTCTCCACACGGCTGCTCCAGCACCCAGGGCTGCATCGGGATAGGTCCATGTAGCTTCTCCTTGGGGATGTCTTGTAGGAAGTCAATCTTGCAAGCTGAAGCAGGGAACTGCTAAGGCAGCTGCACCCGGTGCAACCATCACAAAACAGGAGACCCGAGAACTAGAAAGGCGAGGCTCACCACCCATTTATCCCTCCGCCTTTCAATTAGCCCCACATGTGATTATCGGCCAGGCTGGCACAATTAACTAACTCAGTTGCATCCAATTCCGACACTATTGTCTAAAATTTTTAAACTGTGCGGTAGTCACTAAAAGGAAAAACAAAAGTTAAAGCATATTAAGGTCACAAATTTCAGTGACACCCATACAGTCTAAAACCTCTTGATATGGTAAATTGTGCCCTTTCTAGTTAGGGTTTTTCTGGACTCCCTGTTTATTGACTGTTACCTTTTAAATTTTAAACACACTGAGATTTAAATCAGGGCTCTACTCTTGGGATTCCTATTTCCTCTTGTGTTCCAAGTACAAACTAATATTTAAATGAATATTCATGTCTTCAAGTAGCGCAGGCCTGTGTATGTACTTGCATGGTTCAATTTGTTGTGACCTTATGAGGTTCTGAATTTAAATTTTGCTACTTCGTAGATAAAGGAAACTTAAGTATATTGCTTCAATTTTGATTTTCAAAACAGTTTTTAAAATGTATTTTAAAAAATACTAACATGTTCTTTCAAAAAAGCTACTATCTGTGTAAGCCCGGGTAGACTAGAGAAACAAATCCATAGAAACTCATATGTGTATAAGAGAGAGTTTTATATAAAGGGTAATTGTACATTAACAAAGCATCCCAACCCAGTCCAGTCCAAGCCCATAAATCCAATATTAGCCCATATGTCGGATACCAATTACCAATCTATAAATTCCTCTTCAGATTCATGAAACACATACAATGATGCCAAGTGCAGGATAATCACAGGCCAGTAGGTAGAGGATCTTTGGGTCCAGTGGCATTGTAAACATCTCAGTGCTGTTAGGGGTCTCTACGTGGTTTCTCCAGTTCCCAGAGCACAGTCTATCACCACACTGCCATGTGTCTTGTCAGGAGAGCATCTTTAAGGCAGTGAGCCAAGAGAGAGGGAGGGGTGGGGAAGAAAGAGAGAGACTATCTCCCACCTCCAAGGAGGAAAATGCAGAAATTCCCAGAAATCTCAGGAGAAGGCCATACCCACACAGAGGCCTCATTGGCTATAATCTGATTGACAGACTAGACTCTACCCCTTCACTCCTAATCCTAAACCCCAAATTTACACTGGGTTATGTAACTATGACATTTTCAAAAATGGTAGCACATTGTAAAACTTATTTTATAAAATAACTAATCTGCTTAGTTTTGTTTCTGGATGGTTAAATTTGGAATTATTTTTCACATGTCACCTCCAGTGGAAGTGACCCACAAATCACCCTTTAGTTGTGTGTTGACTATCTCCTTCCCATGGAAACAGCACAGGATGACCAATGACAGCACCAGCTTGACAATTACCTTGTAGCGTAATAAGTAGTGCAGAATATCCGACTTATATGCAATCACCTAAAAAGGAGCCACTTACATGAAAAAGTGGTGTGGTTATGACTTTCATGAAACAAACATAACTTTGACTTTTACAAATATGGCTTAATCTTGAAAACGTAGCTATGAAAGATCACAATCGAAGTAAACCTGGAAGTTTTAGCATATTAGATAGATGGTGGTTCAAAGTGAAATGTCTAACAGAATCAATGGATAAAGAGCCAAACTTTTGAGAATACAAGTATTTTTACCTGTGTATAATGTGACTTTATTATAAGTTAATAAATGTGATGGTACTATTTTAAAAAAGCAGGCAGGATTAATGTGTTCATTTGCTTAGCAAATGGGCCTCAAGTACTTACTGTGTGTGCCCGGCACTGGAGACAAAAAGCAATGAGAAAGAGTGACAATGTAAAGCCTTATTAAGCTCATGTTGTGGCCATGTGGCATGAGGCACCACGCTGTGGTGTAAGTCTGTGATTGGCTGAGGATTTTCTGTAGAGATGGAAAGCAGCCACTAATGGGCAGATTTCAAGTAAAGGAGATGCAGAGTGATGTGAGAAAACTAAGAGAGGACTAGACACCTTTAAAGTGATTTGCGTATGTGTGCAAGGGGTGGTGTCAGCAGTATTTCAAATAGCATGTGCTATACTATCAACTGAGGACCCCTGTGGCTAAGCGCCACCTCCCTAAATGACCCGGTGGAAGCCTCTGCCTCGGGCTCCCTATGACTTCAGGAGCCTCTGCTCTATGGTGGATTTACTTGGAGGAAATGGCTTTTATGCACTGAGCCCAGACAATCATTGAGCAATTCCTAGTTTGGATGAACAAGTTCTCATGAAGAGAAACAAAAACAAACAATAAAAATGAAAGGAAGATCACTAAAAGGTGATCTTACCTTAACATCCCCCTCTATCTGACCCCGCCCCACCCTACCCCAGCTTCTGTGTCAGTCAGCCATCTAGCTCCTCTGTCCCATGGGACGTGATCTTTTAGAATTAATTTCTCAACTCACCCCAAGGGAAGTCATTGTTTTCTTACTGATTTGAACTTTGATTTTTCTACAGGTATTCTATGACAGTGCCTAGAGACAAAATCATAGGGGAAGCGCAGTTGCTGGACGACAGAATGCCGAGACAAGATAAGGGCCTACAGACCACCCAAGCACTTCACCAGTACCAGCTCCACAGGAGTACACATCTTCCTGGAGTTTCCACTCAAGTTCCAGGAGTTGAAGGACTTTCTGATTTCCCTCCAAACTTGTTACGTGCCTCAATGAATCCGGCTAACATCGAGCTGCCCATTGAGAATGAAAGCAACCATGAAGACAGAGTGGCCCCTCTCCAGGCAACACTCCTAAGCAGTCCTGCTACACCACTGCCTTGCTGGGGTTTAGCTGGAAGGAATTTCACCCGGTGTAGGATAATGAAGAAAACAACACAGGCAGAGGGAAAATCCCACGATGTATTGAAGAAAATGATAAAACCACCTGTAGGGCAGAAAGTACCAATTCAGGGAGCAGGTCCATCTATTTCAGAGTCAGTGCATGGGAGCGCAAAATTTACTTCCATTAAGCCTCCATATGCTATCCCCGCATCACTAGTTTCTGACAGTGTCTACATGCAGCCCTACATTGATAGAGTAATTCATTTGTTGGCATTAAAGGATTACAAAATCTCAGAATTGTCTGTTCGACTGCAGAGGGATGGAATTCACAAGAAAGACAAATGTACCATTGGAAAAGTTCTGGAACAGGTAGCCATTCTGAATCCCCGCAAATTTACGTACACATTAAAAGACTATTTATTCAAACAGGTGCGACGAGACTGGCCTGGGTACACGGACTCAGACAGGCAGCTCCTGGACTCGGTGCTTGCCAGGAAAGGTCAAGCTCAGACAGCTCCTGCCACCAAGTGTCTGCGGTCGTCCAGAGATTCTAGCACAGGCGGCACTCCCCGCAAGAAAGTGCGTTTCCCTTCAGCTGCCGTTGATTCTTTGGGGGTGGGGAAAGGTAAAATATCTCACCTGACCACGGTCGCGCAGCCACCCTCAAATGCCCGATTGAATAAAGCCAGGAGGGAACCTGCTGCAACTTCTGTAAAATCTCCTGCAGCGACAGCAGAGCCCATTTGTGCACCTCTGCCCTCATCCTACTGTACTGCTTCCAGTTGTTCCTGGCCTGGCACCCCAGAAGGTGCCAGGACTCAGGATCCAGAAGATGATCATGTCTGGCAACACAGCAGCTCCGTTGAATACCAGCAGGATGAGTCTAATACCACAAAAAGGTCAGCCTGTACTTCTGATTTCATGAAATATCCAATGCTCTTAAAGAAGACACATCCAACTCTCCATTTGAACAAGACACACAAACAAGCATTTACAGAAAACCAAGCAAACAGCCAAACATACACAGCAACAATGGAGATACAGGGCACAGATTCTCCAAGCCATGAAAGTTATGTAGAGCCAGAACCCAGCGAAGACAATAGAGAGCTTTACCCCACACCTCAAGACAGCACCTCAACATCGACATCGGAGGTCTCAGATTATTTGACCAAGTACGTCACCATCGTTTCTTCTGAGCAACGTCAGCGCTATGTACAGGATTTTACAGCAGAGTTTGAGGACTACCATGCCCTTCGTGACACTATGCTGAGTTTATCCTTGCCCTTTTATGACCTCAAGGCAAAAAAGATACAATTTTCTCCAGGCACAAAAGAATATGAAGATATCAATGAAGAAATCTTACGAGAATATCAGAAGCTGAAGCAGAATAATCCCAATTTTTATGCAGAAAAAAAGAGATGTTATTATCTTTATGACAAGCTGGCTCACATTAAAAGATTAGTAAGTGATTTTGACCAAAAGCAAAGAGAGTCATGTTACTAAAACTGTGGTGAGACCAAAATTAACTTGAACTTACTTATTGAAAATTCCACATTATTTTTTTCTAAGATTTCAATGGGATGCAACATTGTCTGTCCATAAAGACAAAAATAGACTAAAATGGCTGGGGGAGAAATGAAGCCAAGGGCAAGCAGAAAAAGTCAAGAGTGAGAATTTTGATCTTTGGTAATGTAAACTTCAAGGCAAAATCCATCTTGAACGACAAAGAAGGCATTACATACATAATGAGTAAAGCTATAATTGAATAAGAAAACTAATAAATATATATTCACCAGTGAAAGAAGCTCAAATATATTAATCAAACTTACGGAAGAACTAGAAGAAACAAATGATACTAAAATAATAATAGGTTACTCGAGGAATATACAACTCGAGGAAGAACACAACATCAGGAAGGAAAGTCAATATAGTCACCGAAAAATTGAACAAAACATTAAGACTGCAATTCTTTTTTAAAAAATAATTTTATTAGGGACTCATGCAACTCTTTTCACAATCCGTACATACATCATTTGTGTCTAGCACATTCGTACATATGTTGCCATCATCATTCTCAAAACACCTGCTTTCTTCTTGAGCCCTTGGTATCAGCTCCTCATTTTCCCCCTCCCTCCCTGCTCCCCCCTCCCCCTGAATCCTTGATAATTTACAAATTATTATTATTATATCATATCTTACACCATCCGACGTCTCCCTCACCCACTTCTCCGCTGTCCGTCCCCAAGGGAGGAGGTTACATGTAGACCTTGTCATCTGTTCCCCCTTTCTCCCTCACCTTCCCTCCACCCTCCCGATATCACCACTCTCTCCACTGGTCCTGAGGGGTTCTTTATGGGAATAGAAAGCCCGATCTTTCTACTTCAGAGCAGCTTGTGGATTCAAACTACAGACCTTGCTGTTATCAGCCTCCACACACACACAAACACACACATCAAGTTATCTATTGTTGTGTAACATTCTTATAAATTTAGCAGCCAAAAACAACCATGTTTTTTATCTGATAGTTTCAGTCAGGAATTGGGCAAGGCTTAAATGGGTCTTCTGCTTCAGAGTCTCGAATGAGGCTCTTGAAAGCGACTCACATGTGTAGCGAGCCCACCCATAAGAGGGACCAAGAACTCAGGGATTCAGAGTACTAAGGAATGAAGTCACTATGTGCTGATTTTCATAGAAGCCCATGGCAAGTAATGTGCTCAAACCTTTACCAACATGGTCTGATTTCATTTTCACCTCAATAGGTAAGGTAGTATGATGTGAAGTTACAGAGAAGGAATGTGGTGTTATATCAAGTTACAGAGAAGAAGCTATAGCCCAGAAAGAGATACTATTTTACTCAAAATTGTGAAACTAGGAAATTAGACCTGACTTTGTTTTTGAACCTGAATTCCAACGTGGCGTTCTACTGGTAGGAATTCCAAATGAACAGGTAAGCAAAGCAGGTAGCAAGAGAGATGAACTGTCTTTTTTACCTTTGTGTCAGCAGACTAGATCTTATATATATTGCTGAGGTTGGATCCTGACTTTGCCAATTCCAGTGTAACTTTGGACAGGTTACAGGAGAGCTTGCTGATTGATCTTCTATCTGTATGATGGAAACCGTAATACTCACTCAGCCTGGTGGAAGATAAACACTCCAAGCAGAGCTGCTCTTATGATGATTACTGTTCCCTCTTTGATGTGGGCAATTGTTCATAGTTCTCTGTAGACAAGTGGTTCTCAACCTTTCTAATGCCGCGACCCTTTAATGCAGTTCCGCATGTTATGGTGACCCCCCAAACATAAAACTAGTTTTGTTGCTACTTCATAACTGTAATTTTGCTACTGTTATGAATCAGGCGAGCCCTGTGAAAGGGTCATTTGACCCACAGGTTGAGAACCTCTGTTGTAGATCAAGAAATATATCCTATGACTTGGAATCCCTAGAGAAAGGGTAAAGTTGGCAACATAAAAATATATTTATCAATGGTCTCGTTGATAAATTCAAATGCATGAGGTTTCTGAAATCAAATCAGGTTTGTTTGGAGGGAAGTTTCCATTAGGTCATATATATAAAACAATAAAACAAGAACTCGTTTTAGTTCATAATGCAAACCTAAGCCAAACTTGCCATGCAGGCATTTTCTTAGAGTGATCCATAAGCTCGTAGAAGTAGTCTGATAATGGTGACAGTCTAGTTGATTGGGGACTCAGGAGACTAGAATTCTTTAATTCTTTGGTGGGTTTTCCCAAGTGAGACGTTCACAGGTCTCTGTTGATCTGAACACGTGGCGTTTACCACATTGAACAGAAGAGTTGGTATAGACGCATTGTTTATATAAAGTGGTATGAAGTATATGTCACTATTAGTAGAAGTAGCTGAAGCTATAAGGTGAGATAATTTAATTGCTGAGAAAGACACAATAGAGAAAGGAACCTATGACTTGCTATGTCTTAGGAAAGGCAAGACATGTATGCTATAAGGACTGGAAAGAAAAAAAAACCCGCGAAGCTGGGAACTAGAAAGGCCTGCCAATTGGACAATTTGAGAGAAGGTGAGCCACAGCTTCAAAGGATACAGAGAAGGGAAAGAGGCAGAGTACTAAAATTCCACTGCCCATAGAATGGCTTGAAGATGAAAACCTATGTGCATCTCATGCAACTATACAAAGGGACTCCAAAATGTTTGTGGAAAAATTCAAGATAATGGAACTTTAACAGGAGTTCTTTGAAACCTCCAACCCCCCATATTAAGAATCCCCAAAAAACAAACAAATATGACTGAGCTTTGACAGAAGGAAGAAGCCTTGCTTTGACTTTCAGACATTTCTGGCTTCTGGCTCAGGACCCTGCACTTGGCTCGCCTTGGTCTGACCTTCAGATTTGGGACTGAACAGCACTCACCACCCTGGGAGACATTTCCTTAAAGTTTTGCGAGTTTCTGTGAGCAGTTACAGGCAATCACGGAACCCAGGGACATAAGGGAGTACCAAGGGACAGTGACCGAAAATGAATCAATGCATTTGAATTGTAGTACGGGCAAAGAATATTGAAAGTACCATGGACTGCCAACGGACAAATAGATGTTGGAAGAAGTACTTCCAGGGTGCTCCTTGGAGGCAAGGATGGCGAGATTTCATCTCACGCAATTTGGACATGTCGTCAGGAGAGACATGTCCCTGGAGAAGGACATCCTGCTCAGTAACGTAGAGGGGCAGAGAAAAAGAGGAAGGCCCTCAACGAGATGGATCGACACAACGGCGACAACAGTGGGTCTGAGAGTAGTAGCAATTGTGAGGATGGTGCAGGACCCGGCAATGGTTTGTTCTGTTGTGCAGAGGATCACTAAGGGTCAGAACCAACTCAATGGCACCTAGCAATACCAGCAACAACATCCAAGGGGGGAGGGGAGGAGAGTGAAGCACAATAACGTCTTGAAAGAGTTGGACATTTGGGACATCTTTAATTTCCAACTACTTGAGACTAACAACTAAACTCAACTCACTGCCATTAAGTCAGTTTTGACTCTTGGCAACTTTAGTCTTAATTCTTCTAAAACAATCATTACCACGATAATGTTGTTCCAAAATATAGCTTCTCCTCTGCTTTACATGCCTTTGAAGCATTTGCACAACACACATGCTCCTTTTTTTGTTTTGTCAAAGTCAGCACTTTGTGTGCCAAATATGATTATAATTTAGAAGTTAGTCAATTACTTCTTAATTTCACTTGGAGTAATCTTTAATAGAAACTCTGTACCGTTTGAATTTTAACTTTCCCTCTGGGCAAACATTAGTCTTTCACTGGGGAATGTAGTGGTTTTGAGAACGAACCGTGAGTCCAACAGGCTGCCCCTTCCATGGCCTAACTTCCTCAGGCAGATGAGCAAGCAAACTGAACAGGAGGATTTGCTGTACGGCTGCTTATCAGAGGATATTGTGTGTTGATTGGCTCCTACTCACTTCCTTGGTAACTTGTAATCATGCTTCTCAGAGATATAGCCCTGTCTGCTGTTTGTCTAATTAGGAATTTACTTGATAGAAACAGGCTTTTCTCACTCATTAAAGGTGTTGAGACAGAAAAAGTTTGTTTCAGCTTTTGGTTTTCACAGCATCTCAGATTAACCACTAGGTAAGTACATAAATAGATAAACCAGGCAGAAGAGATAAAGTGATGGTCTTCTGCTACCTGTCCCAGTGACACTTTTGTCATATAATGAGTTACTGCTGGGTGGAAATAAATATCTGTCACAGCTCATGGGACAATTAGAAAACACAGTCTTGACACTTTCCCCACTCTGCCCTTTGAGGGGAGGAGATCTGGTAGTACAATGGTTAAGTACCCAGCTGCTAACCAAAGGGTTGGTGGTTTGAAACCACCATTTGCTAGGCAGAAGAAAGAACTCTCTAAAGATTTACAGCCTAGGAAACACTATGGGGTAGTTCTATTCTGTCTTAGAGAGTCCCTAGGCATTGAAATCGACTCCATGGCAATAAAGGTGGGTATTCTCTGATGATGATAATTCAGCTCTAATACAGAAATGGTCCTTAGTAGCCTATGCGCCCTGTAAAGCCATCACAGAAACTTGGTTAATTGAATATGGTACTGGAATCTGGACTAAAACCTTTACATCTATTTTTCAAGACAGAAACATAAATACACAGGAAAAACATATTTTGAACAGCTGAGCACTGTCAATTGCGTCTTCAATCAACTTTGGATGGGATAGCGGGGTAACCCAGTGCAGTTGGATTCATGCCCTTGGATGTGCTCCTAAAGTGACAATAATCTATACAATTCTGTAAATATGGTTATCTTTCATAAGAAGTTATTAATCATGAATAAAATATACTACACAATGGTATCATTTTCCTAAGACATCTCCATGGGACATGAAAGTTTTGATACTAATCTGTAAAACTCAAAAGACAGAACCACGTAATGAATTGTTTATTGGTATTTTGGCCTGGGATTTATAGAGAAACACTTGAGTTGGCAACATAGGGGG